GGGGAAGAAAGTTTGCTTTTCATAAACCCCAAGTTCGAAACATGATCAAAAAAGCTGCTGCTGTTTTCCTTGAGGAATACAAGTGAGGCCTGCTGCTGCTGCTGCTGCTGCTGCTGCTGCTGCTGGTTTGGTTGCTGTTTTGGGCGCTGGTTTCGTTGCAGCGGCGATGCAGCTGCTGCTGCGGCGTTTGCTGCTGCTGCTGCTGCTGCTGCTTTTGCTGCTGTCGAAGCTGCAATTGCTGCTGCGCTCTTTTCTGCTGCTGCTGAGGCCTTTGCTGCTGCTGCTGCTTCCATCAGCGCTGCCGTGGCTGCTACTAGACTTGCTGATGGCGCCCTCGTTGCAGCTGTTGCCACCCCGTTGCTGCTGCAGCAACAGCAGCAGCAGCAGCAGCAAGTGTTTGTTTGCTGCAGCGGCGATGCACTGCGTCTCGACTCTGTGCACAATCTGCCCTGGGATTTGCTGCAGGTGCGGCGGCGATTCTATTTGAAAATTAAAAATGATTTAATTAAATTATTATTTTAAATTAATTAAATTAAATTAATTAAATCAATTCGATTAAACCAATTACTTAATTGGATCCCTAATAAGCAAACTAAATGCTGCTGCAGCTTGGTGCCCTTCCGCTGCTGCAGCAGCAGCAATTGCTGCCGCTGCTGCTGCAGTAGCAGCAATTGCCGCTGCTGCTGCAGCAGCAATCGCCGCTGCTGCTGCTGCGGCAGAATTGCTGCTGCTGCTGCCGCTGCTGATGCAGCAGCAGCAATCCGCACTTTCCGCTGCCGTGGGTGGGAGCGGATTGTTCGCGAAAAAGCCGCAATTTTCTGCAGCTAATAAATTACAATTAATGAATTAATTAATTTAATTAAATTAATTAATTTAATTTAATTTGATTTAATTTGATTAATTAATTAAATTAATTTATTTGTTTTGCTTCCGCAGGAACTCACCAGCTTCCTGCGGCAGCAGTTTCCCAGCAAAAAGCTGATAGCTGAAGTGACACCCGAAAACCCTCAAGTTTGCGCAGCAGCAAAATGTGATGCTTGTTGGATTCATTCTGCTTATTACGACGCAGTCAAGGCAAACCCTAAACCCTAAACCCTAAACCCTAAACCCTAGGTCTTGAAGCCTGAGCGCGAGGCCTCCGTAGACTCCAGCCCCGCAGCCCCACGCCCGAAAAACCTGTTTTTAGATGGCCCCAAACTCTAAACCCGAAACCCTAAACCCTAGGCAGCTCTAAACCCTAGGTGGATTCTTCGTAGACTGCAAACCCTAAACCCTTGACGGGCGCCCCGGAACTGTTCGAAAGCATTTTGCTGCTGTGCAGCAAACCCTAAACACTAAACCCTAACAACTCCATTCTAAACCCTAAACCCTCGCTGCTCCAAACCCTCGCTGACTGCAGATAATGAGGAATGAAGAAGCCCCTTATCACCTCTCGATGCTCAAGAACATCATCAACGTCCACCAGTAAACCCTAAACCCTAAACCCTAAATTCGTGTTTGCAGATATGCTGTTGCCCCCAGCGCAGTGAAAGGCCTAAAGAAATACTAATGAGGGCTTCAGCGTGGGGCCGAGGGTTTAGGGTTTAGGGTTTAGGGTTTGGAATTCAAGGTTCAAGGCCAAGGGTTCGCTGACGTACGTGTGTGAATTAACCCAAGCGTTTAGGGTTTAGGGTTTAGGGTTTAGGGTTTAGGGTTTGCTAGGGTTTGTTCAGCGGCTTCACAAAGTCCTCTCAATGCATCAACTCCATTCTTGGCAGCCACGACCAAGCAGGCAACCGCCAAGGGGTACGCAAACCCTAAACCCTAAACCCTAAACCCTGAACCCTCTTTTCAGAGCCTACGCCCTGACTCCAAACCCTCGCAGCAGCAAGCAGCAGCAGGGCTGCAAAGAGCTTCGGGTTTGCAAGCCGGGGCCCCCAGTGGACTCGCTGGGCCTCAAGGGTTTAGGGTTTAGGGTTTAGGGTTTAGGGTTTAGGGTTTGTGTTTGGCTGTTAGGGCCAAACAGATGGGAAGCACGGCAAGTACTTCGTCTCCCTTTTTGGCGGCAGAGATAATTGGCACGCGAGGGCTCAGTGCCGCATGTGGTCAGCTAGCCAACAGCTAGCTAGCTAGCTAGCTAGCTAGCTAGCTAGCTAGCTAGCCAGCTAGCTAGCCATCAGCTAAGCAGCTAGCTAGCCAACAGCTGGCCAGCTAACCAGCCAGCAGCTAGCCAGCTGGCCAGCAGCTAGCCAGCTAGCTAGCCACTGAGGCAGCTAGCCAGCTAACAAGTCAGCTAGCTAGACAGCTAGCTAACAGCTAGCAAGCCAGTTAGCTAACAGCTAGCTAGCTAGCAAGCTAGCTAGCTAGCTAGGTAGCCTGAGCGCAGCTGCAGGGGTTCTTGGACACTGTGTCTGTCACTGAAAACTCAAATGCGAATCTGACGAAACTGCTTTTTGCTGCTGCTGCCGCTGCTGCTGCTGCTGCTGCTGCTGCTGCGCAGGTACGCGCTGCAGGCGGTGAGCCGGGGGCTGCCGATGCTGTTTATGGGCAGCGAAAACCTCCAGGGGGATTTTTGGAATGTCCAAAAAGGAAAAGAAATGAACTGGACTCTTCTCCACGACCAGCTAGCCACTCAGATGCGCGCGCTCGTGAGGACTCTGGCTAGCTAGCTAGCTGGCTGGCTGGCTAGCTAGCTGGCTGGTCAGGTGGCTAGCTGGCTAGCTAGCTGGCTAGTCAGGTGGCTAGCTAGCCAGCTAGCTAGCTAGCCAGCTAGCTAGTCAGATATCTAGCTAGCGAGCTAGCTAGCTAGTTAGCTAGTCAGACAGCTAGCTAGCTAGCCAGCCTCCTAGCTAGCCAGCCAGATAGCTAGTCATATAGCTAGCCAGCCAGCCAGCTAGCTAGTTAGTTGGCTAGCTAGCTAGCTAGCCAGCTAGCTAGCTAGCTGGATGGCTAGCTAGGCTAGCTAGCCGTCCAGCAAGGGCGAAGTGCTGTTCACTTCTTTCCCAATTAAATAAATAAATAATTTAATTAATTGAATTCAAATTAAATTTAATTTGTTTTAAATGCTGCAGGTGGCAGCAGCAAACAATCTGCGGCTGTCTTTCGCAGAGCTGACTGAAGAGCAGCAGCAGCCGGCGTTTGTGCACGAGAATGCAGCAAACCGCGTTTTGGGTCCGTTTAAACCAAATTAAATTAATTTAATTAATTTAAATTAATTAAATTGATTAAATTAATTAAATTAAATCAAACTTAATCAAAAAGGGAACTCATTCTGATCATGGCCATAAGAATCGCCATCTTTTCCCGCACAAATTGATGCTTTTGGAGCTCCCCTGCTGCTGCTGCTGCTGTGCTGCTGCTGCTGCCGTGCTGCTGCTGCTGCTGCTGCTGCCGCGCTGCAGCTTTCACCCGCGGTCAGCTGCTGATGGTGCTGAACTGCGGGGAAGGCCAGTGGGACTTGGGGTGTACGTACACCCTAATGAGTCCGTACAGCTCAGGAACAAATTTAAAACTCATTTTTAATTCTCAAGAAGAGTCTTTTGGCGGCTGGAGAGGCAGCGGGGGGCCCCCCGTGCTGCAGGCAGCAGCAGGGGGGGCCCTCAGTCTGGTGCTGCCGAAGTGGGCGTTGTTGGTATACCAGAAGCTGTGAAGCTGCTGCTGCTGCTGCTGCTGCTGCAGCGGCAGGTGCAGCTGCGGCCGAAGCAGCTTTGCGGCGCCTTTTCAGCTGCTGCTGCTCCTCCAGTGGCTGCTGCTGCAGCTGCTGCTGCAGCTGCTGCTGCAGCTGCAGCAGCAGCTGCTGCTGGTCGGAGCTGCGGCCGCTGCTGCGGTGCTGGGCAGTTGCTGCAGCTGCCGCTGCTGCTGCTCGTGCTGCTGCTGCTCTTCAGCAGCAGCAGCAGACCCACAGACGGGCTTTTGAGCTTCTGATATTTGTGCAGCTGTCGATACACCTCAGCTCTTGAAGTTTGTGCCTTCAAATTATTTAATGCTTTTTCTTTTTTAATTTTATTTAATTCTTTTATTTACTTTTATTTAATTCTTTTATTTAATTTTATTTATTCCTTTAATTTAATTTGATTTTAATTAATTGTCTTATCCTCTTTGCGCATTTTCTTTTTCCTTTTTCCACCACTTGTTAATTCTTCGTTTATATTTATTTTATTTTATTTTGTTTATTTGATTATAATTCACATTGTCTTTTATTTTGCTGCGGGGGTGTCTTTGCTGCTGCTGCACTGCCCGCCTTTGCCTGTCTCATTCTTTTATTTCTTTTTAATTTAATTTAATATCTTTTTTAATTATATTTAGTTCCTTTTTAATTTAATTTTAAATTCTTTTTAATTTCATTTAATTTAATTCCATTTCCCTTTATTTAATATTCAAATCGCCCCGTCTGTTGGCTTCCTCGTGCTGCAGCAGGAGCTGCTGCTGCTGCGGGAGCTGCTGCAGGAGGAGCTGTTGCTGCTGCAGCAAGAGCTGCTGCTGCTGCTGCAGCAGTGCAGTTGCGGGCTCCGCTGCTTTTGCGGCTGCTGCTGCAGCTGCAGCTGCTTTTGGGGTGTCTGTACACCCCGAAAGCTTTAAACTTTGTTTTCATCTGCTGCAAACCAGAGATGTAATTTTACGAACACAAGGCTTTGCTGCTGCTGCTGCTGCTCCTTGTGCTGCTGTTGCTGCTGCAAATAAACTGCATTCGCTGCTGCTGATGTCGCTCTGCCAAGAACTGAAGCAACAGCAGCGGCTGCAGCAGCAGCAGCAGCAGAAAAAAGAAGCTCAAGCCTTTTAAAACAATCGGGCGAAGGTGCACAAGATATTAATGGTGGAAGCAAATCTCTGCTGCTGCTGCTGCTCTTGTTGCTGCTGTCGCTCGCCCTGCTTCTAGAGCAGCAGCTGCCGCCCGTGGTCTTGTTGAGTTTGCTGCTGCTCTTGCTGCTGCTGCGGCTGGAGCTGCTGCTGTCGCTACCGCTTCTGTTGCTTACACTATCGCTGCAGCTTCTGCTGGCCTTGTACCTCCGCTGCTGGTGCCGCTGCAGCAGCAGCAGCAGCAGCAGCAGCATTTGCTGCTGCTAAAAGGGTAGCTTGGGCATTCTCATTCCGAATATCTTTCCCACTTTTTTGGCGATGCGCCACAGCAGCAAAAAGGCTGCGGAATGCAGCAGCAGCAGCGGCAGGCTGAGGCTCAGAGTGGACAGCAGCAGCGGGCGGTAGAGGGAGGAGATGAACTCTCCTGCTGCTGCTGCTGCTGCTGCTTCGGGGTCTGCTGCTGCTGCTGCTGCTGCTGCTGCAGGCGGCAGCTTTGCGGAGGAGAAGGAGACGAGCTGCTCAAAGCTTGCAGCAGAAGCGCCTTCGTGCTGCGGCAGCAGCAGCAAGTGCTGCTGCTGCTGCTGCTGCTGCTGCTGCTCGCTCGACGGCCATCCCTCTGGTAGCAACGAGAATTGCTGCTTCTCGTACCTCCGCCTCCATTGTTGCAGCTGCTGCTGCTGTAGCAGCTGCTGCTGCTGCATCTCTTGCTGCTGCTGCTGCTGCTGAGCTGGAGCAGCAGCACCACTTATTTCTTCAATGACTTTCGCTGGCGAGAAATTCTCCGCTGATGCTGCATTTGCTGCTGCTGCTGCTGCTGGCACTGCTGCTGGTGCTGCTGCTGCTGCATCTGTGACTGCTTGTGACTCGTCGGCAGCAGTTTCGTTCAAATCTTCTGCTGCTGCTGCTGCTGCGCTTGCTGCTGCTGGTGCGGCTGCTACTGCTGCACCTTTGGCAGCAGCAGGAGCAGCAGCAACTGAGTGAGGGACTACTGTTGCTCTGTAGGCACCTGAAGACGCAGCAGGAGTCTGCTGCTGCTGCTGCCGCTGCTGCTGCTGCTGTTGCTGCTGCTCTTGGTGGTGCCTATCCAACGGCGCCCAGAGCAGCTGGCGTTGCTGTTGCTGTTGCCGCTGCTGCTGCTGCTGCTGCTGCTTCTGCTTGTTGTTGCTTGTGCTTACTGTCAGGACCAGGAGCTTGATGAAGGAAAAGGCAGCAGCAGCAGCAGCAGCAGCATGCAGCAGCAAGCTGCTGTCGAAGGCTTTGTGCAGCCGAAACTTATCAAGAGAAGGGGGAATAATGTCATGCAGCAGCAGCGCAGAATAAGCAGCAGCAGCAGCAGCAAGTGACAGCAAGAAGCAGCAAAGAGGCACCCAGAAGATGGGCTCAAGCCAGAGGTTGTGGCCCGTAGAGAGTTCTGCTGCTGCTGTTGCTGCTGCTGCGGGCTCTGCTGCTGCAGCAGGCAGCAAGTAGCGGAAGCAGCCCAGAAACCCCACAGTCAGCTGCGCCCCCATCAGCAGCAGCAGCAGCGGGTAGACCAGCAGCAGCAGCAGCTCAGTCTCTCTTTTGTAGCTTTTGTCCATTAGACGGACGAAGCAAACAACTGCAGCAGCACCAGCAGCAGCATCTTCTTCCTCCCACAGCAGCAAGTCTTCTTCGTCATAATCACTCAAGGGAAACTCGCTGGAGGACTCCCCTTCCAACTGCTGCTGCTGTTGCTGCTGCTGCTGCTGCTCTTGCTGCTGCTGCTCTTGCTGCTGTAGTTGCTGTTGCTGCTGCTCCTGTTGTTGTTGCTGCTGGAGTTGCTGCTGTTGCTGCTGCTGCTGCTGCTCCTGCTGCTGTTGCTGCCGCTGCTCCTGCTGCTGCTGCTGCTCCTGCTGCTGTTGCTGCTGCTGCTGCTGCTGCTGCAGGGAGGCCCCATCTGTAAGAGAGGCCCCTTCAGGGTTTGGGGCGGGGGCCCCGGGCCAAGGGGGGCCTGATGAGGCACTTATAGACATCGTGAGAAGCACGGGGAAGCAAGGGCAACATCTGCTGCTGCTGCTGCTGTTGCTGCTGCTGCTGCTGCTGCTGTTGCTGTCGACGGTGCAAGCTCAGGGGCACGGGAGGCTGAGGGGACTTTTCAAGAGGACACGCGGTGAATCAGACAGTGTTGAGTGGCTGTGCTGCTGCTGCTGCTGTTGCTGCTGCTGCAGCTGTTGCTGCTGCCGCGGCCATTCCGTTGCTCCTTCTGCTGTTGCTGCAGTGCGGCCCTCGATAGCGCTCTGCTGCTGTATCTTCTGCCAGCGCGGCAGCAGAGAGAGCCCTTGAAACGAGGCTTCGTCCTCAAACCCTAAACCCTAAACCCTAAACCCTACACCCGTGGGCGGGTCCAGTGTATCCACTGGTCCGCCGTCGGCCGCAGGGCGCTGCTGCGGTGCTGCTCGTTTTTGCAGGTTTTGCTGCTTCTTCATTCAAAAAAAATATATATATGGATAAATTAAATACAAAAATATGCAAATAACCTCCTTAGTTGCATTTGAAGTGCACGTACACCGCAGGCCGCTGCAGCTCACTGTCGGCTGCAGTGGCGCAGCAGCAGCAGCAACAGCAGCAGCTGCAGCAGCAGCAGCAGGCCTCTTCAAAGCAGCTTTTTTGTTTAATTAAACTGAATTTGCTTTAATTCAATTTACTTACTCACGTCTTTACGCAGTTTCAAGCTGCGGCGCTCTACTGGGCCAACGAGGCGTAGGACCCTTCCGAGCTCGGCAGCAGCAGCAGCAGCAGCAGCAGCAGTAGCAACAGCAGCAACAAACCGCCGCAACAGCAAGAAGTCTGTGCAGCAGCAGCAGGAGCTAGCTGGAACGGCGGAACAGCGGCGGCAGCAGCAACGGCAGCAGCAATTCCCTGCGGCGGGGAGAGTAGCAGCAAACTACAGCAGCGGCAGCAGCAGCAGCAGGAACAGCAGCATCCACAGCAGTAGCAGCAGCAGCTGCTGCTACATCAGTCGCGCAGCAGAAGAGGCGAAGTCGTCCGAGCCAGCAGCCTGACCAGCAGCAGCAAAGTCAACCCCAGCAGCAGCAGCAGCAGCAGCAGCAGCAGCGGGGCTGCAGGCAGCACAAAAGTTGCTGCAAAGAATCAAAAGCTAGTAAGGCCCCCCACACTTCCTTTATGGTCCTTCCAGGGGGCCCCTACCAAGGGGCCCCCCCAAGCTTGTATGGGGGCCCCCCCCCGGGGGGCCCCCCCAGCTGCTACGGGGGCCCCCACTTAGGGGGTCCCCCCTTGGGCCCCTATGGGGGGCCCCCCCCTGGGGGCCCCCACTTAGGGGGCCCCCCCCCAAGCTGCTATGGGGGCCCCCCAGCCAAGGGGGCCCCCTTGGGGCCCCCAGTACCCTCGTGGGCGCCCCCCGAGAGCTGGGGGCGGTCTTGTGGGGGCCCCCCTCCCTGGGGGGCCCCTGCAGCAGGGGGTCCCCCCCCCTGTGGCTCCCGCTGTGCTGCAGCGTCCCCGCGCAGCCGCAGCCGCA